TTTTCCCCATCACGGCTTTATCTTTATTATAACACTCGAGTACGTCGTGGTCAACAATTGCAGGATACTGGAGCATCAATTCGGGAGACTATCAAAGCCATGAAGCGCAAAGGTGTTTGCCCAGAGTCTAATTGGCCTTACATTACTCGTCACTTTCATGAGGAACCATCTGATTCATGCTATGTTGCTGCTGAAGGTAACTGGGTGTGTGAATATGAAAGTCTTGACCAAGACAGGGATCAGCTTAGAGCTTGCTTAATTGATGAGTGCCCATTTGTTTTTGCCTTTAAAGTCTGTGACAGTTTTATGGATATGGACAGGAGAAATGAATGTATTATGCAGATGCCAAATGAAGAAGAACAAGGTACTGGGTCTTGTGTTAATCATACTGTTGTTGCTGTTGGTTATAATGATGGATGTAGGTGTTTCAAGGTGCTCAATAGCTGGGGTTCAGATTGGGGAGATAAGGGATATTTCTACATGCCATATGAATTTATTGAGGATCCTTCTCTCTGTTATGACTTCTGGAAGATTTCATTTGCCTGTCAACGAGGGGCACCCCATCCTGATAAGAATTCAAGTAGGAGGTCCAATCAAGGAGCTAGTGGCTTTGTGTCCATTAATATAAGGTGGGATACACAGCGGCAGGCAGTTGACCTCTACACTGATAACAAGAATTATTGATTATAATTACTTTTTGACATTATTATAGCTGTTTTTGTTATTAAGATTTTAAATATGAAACCTTCTAATTGCTGAATGCTTGATCGTAACCTGCTTTAAGGTCAAAATTGTGTGATTTGACCTTTGATGCTTGATAAATGCTTTGGAATCGATTACAGCATGGATAGTGAACTGCATGTATAAACTATCCTCATTTAATTTATTAATGACCACAGGCACAGATTTGTGATTAGCCAAATTTTAATTCTGTATCATGTTTTGTGGAACCTGGACACCTTTCTTTATGATGGAAGCTGATTTGATTATAAATAATGATTTTTATGAAGTATTGTTAAGGAAGGGACCCAAAAGAAGTAGGAGGAATAGGAGTTAGTAGTAGAAGCATAGATGTTAAGAAATTGAAAACTACATTCTGCCCTTAGCAACAGAAGATGTCGTTTTACTCTGTAGCTACATAAATTAACAAAAATATGCATAAAATTTCCATATTTTATCAAGTACACTATACTGTATGTTTGGGTTAATAAAAAATATTCAGTTTCTCTCCTCTCCCTCTCAGGGTTTAAGTGATCCAGAAGAGGCAGTGATATGTGAAGCTATCTCCTCCATGACAGTATTGTGTATCAATGGATTCTTTAACTTAAGATTCCTCATATCATCACTACAACAAATAGTACCTTTCAT